CAAGGTTATTAAAGGGATGCCTGTTTATACAATAGTATATTGGGCAAACCCACTCCCCCATCTCCTTTGTGTTAATATAGAGTGGTGCGTGCCACTCTAGGCTTAAGAGGATGCCAGATGAACTGGAGGATGCTCCGCTGCATTGAACGCAAAGCGAAGGAGGAGATGGCGACCGGAAGTGTTCTAAAATAATAAAGAAGTTTGGGCATTCTGGACAAGGCTTGATGGCTGACACTTTGCCATTGAGAGTTTATGAGGGAGCCAGGAGGTCACTTCCCTATATTATTCATAGAGAACAGATGGGCTTAATTCCGGGTAGGCCCCGTTGGGGTTTTGGTGAGTCCTTTGTTACAGGTCTTTTACTCCACTCCCACAGCCCAAATCAAATACTTGGGTCACCTATCCCAACCTTTTCACATTGGCAATTGAACCCCTAGCAATTCTTCTCCGTTCTGATCCCAACATTAAAAGGTATAGAAATGGCAGGGGTAGAATACGATGACGTTATGCTTACTCAGCCACATACCAAACGGCTCCTAATCTTTTATGTCTTCTACAAAATTTTCAGTCATATCAGGACTTACTGTAAATTGGTAAATCCGCATACTAAACATTTAGTAAACATTTATCCTATATCAGCTACTTGGGGATTATTATTTAGAGACTTGAAGAAGATGCTATCATATATACATATGGGGAAGGAAGGTTCCTTTCATAAATATTAATCGTGTATGCGCGTGTTCTCCAATTTGGATCGTTTCTAGTTGGTAAACTTTACATCCAAACTATTGTGGAAATATTATATGGACTTATGTGGACATTTTTATATTAGGGTATGTGTGTGTGTTCTATAGGTTGTCATTTGTCTCCCTGTGTCGGATTCAACCGAGGGACGCTTTAGCGGAGCGTGCTTGGGTTGAATCGGGACCTGTGGTAAAACCGTCAGAATGAAAACCTTCTTATGGGCTTAGAGACGTGTTCGCAGTGTATGTACACGTTTGCCATGTATGAGTATCAAGCGCAATGCGCTGGGCTTATTGCCGGCAGATGTCTATGCACATTAGCAAAGCAGAGTCTGCATAACGAGAGATACGTATTATATTTCTATTGTGGCTGCGCTATCCTTTTTGGATACATATCTGCTTTTATAAGACATTGATTTATGCCTTGCTGGTGTACTGGTACCGTACATTGGCAATAGCATTAGCAGATAGTCTCAAATCTGTAAGAGCAAATAGAATGATCTTAATAGATACTGGTCATTTTGAGCACATCATAGTCTAATGGAGCGAATATCCCGCTTGTTTAACACAAGTCATGCACACTTCTCTGCGCATTTTGGGCTGATTGGCTGATGTTGTAAAGCCATCTCCCTCTGGGCGTTAACCTTTTTGCTGCTTAATAAATGGAGGTGCTTGTGGCCAAGACAGGGCAGATACACTGAGACTCCAGCTTGAATCAGCGTTTTGTCCGACTCTGCCTGGGACTACCGAAGTACTTATTTTCCTTATACAAAAGAGCTGAATACAACATGCTTTTAAGCGTGACAGAAATATTTGTGCTTGTTGCACTTTGATACCGAAAGTGTACCTTTTAGCGCAGCAGGGGGCTACACTGCCTGGCGCCCAGCACATAGGGGGTGCGGAGTGGTGGGATCTACATGCAGGCACCTGGGCATAGGAGGGCAGCCTTTCTCTCCGCATGCAGTTGGTGAGGTCATGGTAGGCTGCTTGTGTGGAGCTAAGGGACGGGGTGACCCTTAACAGGTCATGCTCGGGTCGCCCGCAGGGCAAGTGCCTGGTATGCCCCATGGCCAGTCTAAGCCAGATGATGACATACTCCCATACAAAAACAAAAAAAAGTGTTTTTTTTTCTATGTAGAAAAACCTAAAATATTGGCAAAATATTAAATGCAATTTAATAGGTAACATTTTATGTAATTAATAATGCTGATAATGATTAACATTTTCCTGTTCAATTAATCACATTTTTTTTAAATTGATTAATCGACTAATTTCGATTAATTATAACGCACATACAGATCCAGGGAAAATTGCCGGGAAAATTGAGCTATCGCCTCTTTAAATAATATTGTGATGGCGTTTATAAATCATTCTTTACCTTTTACATGAACATTCAAATGTATCTTAATCACGATTACGTTTTTGTTTTTCATTACTGATCTACATTGCTGGAGCAATACAGCAACGTTCATCAGGTTGACTGAAATAATTGGTAAAAGAAAGGGGAGATTTTTGGGGTAGCAGCTAAAATGATTGTGTGGCAGGAGATAAAATGCTCCCAACATTTAAACCACAAATGAACTCTTCAGAGAAAGCATCACAACACCAGATAATTGGAAAACAATTTGGATTGTTTAGCAGTTTACAAAAGCAGTTTAAACTGCTTTTACAAAAGCAGTTTACAAAAGCCTAAGGGAACATACAGTTTTACTGTCTGCTGTAATACAAACTGTACTCTTTTAAATTGCTACAGCAGTGGAAACTCTTTGAAAGGCATGCATGGAGCAAGTCTTATATAAAGTGTGAGATAATATTAAAACAGCATAAGTACAGTAGATAAGAGCTTTCAAATCGCTTACATGTGCACGGTAACTATTTGGTAAACATCCATTGCAGGTTGCATCACTTGGGCCGTCAGGTAACGAAGGGAAGGGGGAGGAGTCGATGTATGTGACGTCACTGGACTCCTCCCTCCTTCCCTTCGTTACCCATCACAGACAACTACATCACCCGACTCCTCCCCCCTTCCCTTCGTTAGCCGACAGAGCTACTCGGGGAAGGGGGGAGGAGTCCGGTGACGTTGATGTCCGTGACGTCACCGGATCTCCGACGGAAGACCCGGAAGCCGGTGGAGAGGTAATCGATCAAAAAAATTAACGATTAATCGTTAATTTCCGCACCCCTAGTAATTAATAAAAGTTCTTGGCATAATGAGCAGTGATATGACTGTCTGGACAAGCTTGTAGCTGTGGCAAGTGACCTAACCTAAAACCAAGTTTTTGCTTGTTTTGCAAGTTTATCTCAACCACCACTTTTCATTGCTAAATAGTTTAACCTCAAACTTCATTTACAATCCCAATAATGCAAATTATCATTTTTTGACAAGTTTTTATTCATGGTCACAGATCAGCAACCTTTTTCCCATACCCAAACCAAGACTGACTGGCACCATATAAAACTATAGGGAACAAAATGCATCTTCGATAAACTCAATCTTAAAAAAGAAAAGGTTTAAATAACATGTTTTAAGACTAAATAAACATCCATTCCAATTAGAATTAGGGGGAGGTTATGATGAAAGGAGCTTTTCATTTATTTAATGTTCATCAGCCAAATACACTCTTCACTGGTCCTTGTTTGGGCTTGTCGAAGGCTGTTTCTTCTCCTGTCCTAACTTGACTGAACACAGATGGAGCTGCACATCCAGATTGTTCTGAAAATAAAATAAACACTTCTGGAAACATATTTGCTTACTTTGCAGGTGTATTTTGCCAAACAGGTTCAAATAAAACACATCCAAGTAAATTACAGCTTCAGCAAAATATCCCAATGACTGAGTATTGTTAAGAAGTAAAATCTGATTTCAGAAATCCTCACAACCATACCTGATGAGGATTCTGCAATCCTGTGCAGCTTTAATAACCCCTTGCCGTCCATCCATGGTAAAAATATGGGCGGGCGGCGGATGCTTCCCGGCTTGTGGACGTACATTTACATGATTTCTTTTTCTGCTCTAGCGTGCGGGCGAGCAGAATCCTGCTGCTCGCAGCCAATACCGGCTGTTATATACAAACATTCCGTATAAACCTGCATTGTGCTGTGCTGCCCCCTCCCCCGCTGCTGCTTATTCTGTGCACTGCTGTCTCCCCTGCGGTGCCCGGGACCAAGAACAGTGGCTCTGTGTAGAAGGAGAGATCAGCATTTCCCACCATTGATCTCTCCTCCTTCTCTCTCTAAAGGCAGAAGTGATGTCTATTACATCACTTCTGCCTTTAGTTGTAATTTCTCTGTTTCATCAGCTTCTTTGGGTGTCCCCAGGGGACATTAGTGGTCTTAGAGACCATAAAGATGACCTGTCTGTTTTTTGGGGGCTTTTTACCCCCTTCTGCGATAGCAATCAAGTTAAGTTTAAAAAAAAGTTTAGAAAAAAATGAGTCTCATATAAAACAAAACACCCAAAAAAGTCCCGCGCCCCAGCGTAGCAAGTAAATAGGGTGCGCTTACGTGGAAAAACAACGATTACGCCATACATGTTACATATCGCCGCCAAAGTCGCAGTGAGAGCAATAATTTTAGGGCCATTAATAATTGATAACACTAAACTAAAGAGTGGTAAGAGCTTTTAAAGAGTCACCTATGGCTAATTTTAGGCATGGTAGTTTTTTGCAATTTTGCGGGCTCACGCAATTTTAAAGCTTGACATGTTTGGTGTCTGCTTACCCAAAGTAATGCAGAAAAGAAATAGACACCGGCACTCCAATAGTAAATCGATTACGTCTATTTATTGACGTACATCAAAAGCAAAATAACACACTTAGTGCGACGTTTCGGGGACACACAGGAACCCCTTCATAAGTGTGTTATTTTGCTTTTGATGTACGTCAATAAATAGACGTAATCGATTTACTATTGGAGTGCCGGTGTCTATTTCTTTTCTGCATTACTTTGGGTAAGCAGACACCAAACATGTCAAGCTTTAAAATTGCGTGAGCCCGCAAAATTGCAAAAAACTACCATGCCTAAAATTAGCCATAGGTGACTCTTTAAAAGCTCTTACCACTCTTTAGTTTAGTGTTATCAATTATTAATGGCCCTAAAATTATTGCTCTCACTGCGACTTTGGCGGCGATATGTAACATGTATGGCGTAATCGTTGTTTTTCCACGTAAGCGCACCCTATTTACTTGCTACGCTGGGGCGCGGGACTTTTTTGGGTGTTTTGTTTTATATGAGACTCATTTTTTTCTAAACTTTTTTTTAAACTTAACTTGATTGCTATCGCAGAAGGGGGTAAAAAGCCCCCAAAAAACAGACAGGTCATCTTTATGGTCTCTAAGACCACTAATGTCCCCTGGGGACACCCAAAGAAGCTGATGAAACAGAGAAATTACAACTAAAGGCAGAAGTGATGTAATAGACATCACTTCTGCCTTTAGAGAGAGAAGGAGGAGAGATCAATGGTGGGAAATGCTGATCTCTCCTTCTACACAGAGCCACTGTTCTTGGTCCCGGGCACCGCAGGGGAGACAGCAGTGCACAGAATAAGCAGCAGCGGGGGAGGGGGCAGCACAGCACAATGCAGGTTTATACGGAATGTTTGTATATAACAGCCGGTATTGGCTGCGAGCAGCAGGATTCTGCTCGCCCGCACGCTAGAGCAGAAAAAGAAATCATGTAAATGTACGTCCACAAGCCGGGAAGCATCCGCCGCCCGCCCATATTTTTACCATGGATGGACGGCAAGGGGTTATTAAAGCTGCACAGGATTGCAGAATCCTCATCAGGTATGGTTGTGAGGATTTCTGAAATCAGATTTTACTTCTTAACAATACTCAGTCATTGGGATATTTTGCTGAAGCTGTAATTTACTTGGATGTGTTTTATTTGAACCTGTTTGGCAAAATACACCTGCAAAGTAAGCAAATATGTTTCCAGAAGTGTTTATTTTATTTTCAGAACAATCTGGATGTGCAGCTCCATCTGTGTTCAGTCAAGTTAGGACAGGAGAAGAAACAGCCTTCGACAAGCCCAAACAAGGACCAGTGAAGAGTGTATTTGGCTGATGAACATTAAATAAATGAAAAGCTCCTTTCATCATAACCTCCCCCTAATTCTAATTGGAATGGATGTTTATTTAGTCTTAAAACATGTTATTTAAACCTTTTCTTTTTTAAGATTGAGTTTATCGAAGATGCATTTTGTTCCCTATAGTTTTATATGGTGCCAGTCAGTCTTGGTTTGGGTATGGGAAAAAGGTTGCTGATCTGTGACCATGAATAAAAACTTGTCAAAAAATGATAATTTGCATTATTGGGATTGTAAATGAAGTTTGAGGTTAAACTATTTAGCAATGAAAAGTGGTGGTTGAGATAAACTTGCAAAACAAGCAAAAACTTGGTTTTAGGTTAGGTCACTTGCCACAGCTACAAGCTTGTCCAGACAGTCATATCACTGCTCATTATGCCAAGAACTTTTATTAATTACTAGGGGTGCGGAAATTAACGATTAATCGTTAATTTTTTTGATCGATTACCTCTCCACCGGCTTCCGGGTCTTCCGTCGGAGATCCGGTGACGTCACGGACATCAACGTCACCGGACTCCGCCCCCCTTCCCCGAGTAGCTCTGTCGGCTAACGAAGGGAAGGGGGGAGGAGTCGGGTGATGTAGTTGTCTGTGATGGGTAACGAAGGGAAGGAGGGAGGAGTCCAGTGACGTCACATACATCGACTCCTCCCCCTTCCCTTCGTTACCTGACGGCCCAAGTGATGCAACCTGCAATGGATGTTTACCAAATAGTTACCGTGCACATGTAAGCGATTTGAAAGCTCTTATCTACTGTACTTATGCTGTTTTAATATTATCTCACACTTTATATAAGACTTGCTCCATGCATGCCTTTCAAAGAGTTTCCACTGCTGTAGCAATTTAAAAGAGTACAGTTTGTATTACAGCAGACAGTAAAACTGTATGTTCCCTTAGGCTTTTGTAAACTGCTTTTGTAAAAGCAGTTTAAACTGCTTTTGTAAACTGCTAAACAATCCAAATTGTTTTCCAATTATCTGGTGTTGTGATGCTTTCTCTGAAGAGTTCATTTGTGGTTTAAATGTTGGGAGCATTTTATCTCCTGCCACAAAATCATTTTAGCTGCTACCCCAAAAATCTCCCCTTTCTTTTACCAATTATTTCAGTCAACCTGATGAACGTTGCTGTATTGCTCAAGCAATGTAGATCAGTAATGAAAAACAAAAACGTAATCGTGATTAAGATACATTTGAATGTTCATGTAAAAGGTAAAGAATGATTTATAAACGCCATCACAATATTATTTAAAGAGGCGATAGCTCAATTTTCCCGGCAATTTTCCCTGGATCTGTATGTGCGTTATAATTAATCGAAATTAGTCGATTAATCAATTTAAAAAAAATGTGATTAATTGAACAGGAAAATGTTAATCATTATCAGCATTATTAATTACATAAAATGTTACCTATTAAATTGCATTTAATATTTTGCCAATATTTTAGGTTTTTCTACATAGAAAAAAAAACACTTTTTTTTGTTTTTGTATGGGAGTATGTCATCATCTGGCTTAGACTGGCCATGGGGCATACCAGGCACTTGCCCTGCGGGCGACCCGAGCATGACCTGTTAAGGGTCACCCCGTCCCTTAGCTCCACACAAGCAGCCTACCATGACCTCACCAACTGCATGCGGAGAGAAAGGCTGCCCTCCTATGCCCAGGTGCCTGCATGTAGATCCCACCACTCCGCACCCCCTATGTGCTGGGCGCCAGGCAGTGTAGCCCCCTGCTGCGCTAAAAGGTACACTTTCGGTATCAAAGTGCAACAAGCACAAATATTTCTGTCACGCTTAAAAGCATGTTGTATTCAGCTCTTTTGTATAAGGAAAATAAGTACTTCGGTAGTCCCAGGCAGAGTCGGACAAAACGCTGATTCAAGCTGGAGTCTCAGTGTATCTGCCCTGTCTTGGCCACAAGCACCTCCATTTATTAAGCAGCAAAAAGGTTAACGCCCAGAGGGAGATGGCTTTACAACATCAGCCAATCAGCCCAAAATGCGCAGAGAAGTGTGCATGACTTGTGTTAAACAAGCGGGATATTCGCTCCATTAGACTATGATGTGCTCAAAATGACCAGTATCTATTAAGATCATTCTATTTGCTCTTACAGATTTGAGACTATCTGCTAATGCTATTGCCAATGTACGGTACCAGTACACCAGCAAGGCATAAATCAATGTCTTATAAAAGCAGATATGTATCCAAAAAGGATAGCGCAGCCACAATAGAAATATAATACGTATCTCTCGTTATGCAGACTCTGCTTTGCTAATGTGCATAGACATCTGCCGGCAATAAGCCCAGCGCATTGCGCTTGATACTCATACATGGCAAACGTGTACATACACTGCGAACACGTCTCTAAGCCCATAAGAAGGTTTTCATTCTGACGGTTTTACCACAGGTCCCGATTCAACCCAAGCACGCTCCGCTAAAGCGTCCCTCGGTTGAATCCGACACAGGGAGACAAATGACAACCTATAGAACACACACACATACCCTAATATAAAAATGTCCACATAAGTCCATATAATATTTCCACAATAGTTTGGATGTAAAGTTTACCAACTAGAAACGATCCAAATTGGAGAACACGCGCATACACGATTAATATTTATGAAAGGAACCTTCCTTCCCCATATGTATATATGATAGCATCTTCTTCAAGTCTCTAAATAATAATCCCCAAGTAGCTGATATAGGATAAATGTTTACTAAATGTTTAGTATGCGGATTTACCAATTTACAGTAAGTCCTGATATGACTGAAAATTTTGTAGAAGACATAAAAGATTAGGAGCCGTTTGGTATGTGGCTGAGTAAGCATAACGTCATCGTATTCTACCCCTGCCATTTCTATACCTTTTAATGTTGGGATCAGAACGGAGAAGAATTGCTAGGGGTTCAATTGCCAATGTGAAAAGGTTGGGATAGGTGACCCAAGTATTTGATTTGGGCTGTGGGAGTGGAGTAAAAGACCTGTAACAAAGGACTCACCAAAACCCCAACGGGGCCTACCCGGAATTAAGCCCATCTGTTCTCTATGAATAATATAGGGAAGTGACCTCCTGGCTCCCTCATAAACTCTCAATGGCAAAGTGTCAGCCATCAAGCCTTGTCCAGAATGCCCAAACTTCTTTATTATTTTAGAACACTTCCGGTCGCCATCTCCTCCTTCGCTTTGCGTTCAATGCAGCGGAGCATCCTCCAGTTCATCTGGCATCCTCTTAAGCCTAGAGTGGCACGCACCACTCTATATTAACACAAAGGAGATGGGGGAGTGGGTTTGCCCAATATACTATTGTATAAACAGGCATCCCTTTAATAACCTTGCGCCAACAGCGATCCCATGGCTTATGCTGGAAATTCCGAATTGCTCCCCCCTGCCATTACGGCGCTGCCCTGGATACCGACTACTAACAGGCCCAAGGCCCTAAGTCCACTCATGTTACACTTGCTCAAAGTGTTGGATTCCATCAAATACTTAGCTAATCTACTCTCCCCATACCTCCCACTTCTACCTTTGTTCCCACCAGGTATGGACAACCATAAGGCATTCCGGTGGTGGACGAACAACGGCTTTAAAATATTATATGACATGGTGCGATCCCCTACCATACCGTCCTGGCTATGGGAACATAAACGGATCCCAGAGTCCGAACACTTCCGATACCTTCAGCTTCACCACTGGATCTCTGTCTTATTAAAGAGAAGAGAACCGGGTTGCATACTTACTTGTTTTGAGCATATCTGCCTACATTCGCCCGGGGGCCCGGGTCTGGTGTCGATCTTGTATTCCCAATCTTGTGTCGATCTTGTATTATGTTAGTAGTTGGGAGAGAGATCTGCAACAGACATGGTTCCCGGAAACCTGGCGACAGATGTGGAAGAATATCGCCAGTTGCTCTCGTAATGTGACGAAAACAGAAGTGGCATATAAAGTGATCATGAAGTGGTATATGGTCCCAGGGAGATTGTTATCGGGGATGCCGGGAACCTGGCGATATGATACACATCTGGTGGCGATGCCCCATAGCTACCTGATTCTGGTTTAGAATATATAGATTAATTGCTGCCTTGTTTCGCACACATATCCCAAGAAACCTTCAACATGCTCTTTTCCACTTGCCCATACCTGGATTGCATTTCATTTTTCTAGCAGCTAAGCTCACCCTGGCAGGCAACTGGAAAAAGCAACAGATCACATACATGAAGTTTGTTTGTAGGTTGGACAATATCATGTTAAATGAAAGGCTGTCTAGCATCTTGGAAGATTCACAAGACAAGTTCCTGCACACCTGGGAACCTTGGATCCTCCACCAACACACTAACATGGATCTAACTAGCTTCAGGGGTTTCTAGGTACGGGAAATTATGTGTGGCGGGGAGGGCTGATGGGAATGTGGTGAACTGTTCCTGACAGTATGAGAACTGACCAGTGGCTCGATGTGGAGTTACCCATTCAATTACAGCTACCAATAACAAAGATGTTGACATTTTCCTTCCTGTTTCTCCCTACTCTACCCTACATTACGCTCTCTCTTTCCTGCTCTATAGTTCACCCTCTCCTGACACTTTATAATACTTACTTCCGAGTCCACCATTAGGCGACGATACCCAATTTATCTTAACCATTTAGGGAACCAACTTTAATGTATTTGGGGACTTGGAGTGTGCGATTGTACCACTTGAAAAAACACTTTTGTATACCAACTTCTTTCACAAAGATTCTATTGTATTTTTCAAGATAACAGTTTAGAACGGATATCATAGCATCATACTGGGCACAGCTTGAATTCTCGATGTTTACAAACATTTAGGGATCGCGGGATCCGTATGATAAACAATGAAACACATAAGGCGATAAAATGAAAAGCAAACATAGCACTAAAATTAGGAGAATACGTTATGACAATCACATAGCTCGCTATGACATGGCTTTATGGCTAGTAATGTACAGGCCAGAGAGTCCGGTCTGGGTGACCTTCACCTAATGGGTGGTGTCTCCCGGACTTGGCC